CTCCTGGAAAACATGCAAAATAGTTCAAGGAGAATCTGAAGCAGCTTTTCTTCTATTGAAAGTGAGAATGAATGTACAGAGGTAGAGAAAGGGGATCGTTTCCTGTCTTTGCATCTTTCTTTGGGAGTTACTTGCAGACACTCTGTGATGGAGGAGCCTGGTGAATGAATGCCTGTATCCAGGTTGCATTTGATAAAGACTGAGCCATGTCCTGTCCAGCCTGGTTTAAAGGTCTCTTACAGATTCAATTTTGCCTGTTCTCCCCACAGCTAAGGACTGTGTGTGTGAGTTGGGTGGCTGCAGGGACTACTGGTCTCTTTGTTAATAAATGTGCATTCTGCAGAGGTTCTGTCTGGGGGAGGCTGTTTCTGGAGGAAGGGTACCTGAAGGATAAGGTTTGCCCTGCTCTGACAGTAGTGAATAGGCCTCCAGGACCCCTTCAAGCCATCTACCCCTGAATTGGCCATGCTTTAAGAGGTAATAACCCAAGAAGAGAGTAGTTGCAAGAAACCCAGACCCTAGAGCTCCCAGATGCTCTTACAGAAATAAAGTAGTATAAAACTGGCTGGCCTTGAAGAGGGAATACGCAGTGCTCCAGCCAGCATAAACAGCCGGAAGAAGGAGAAGATCTGCAGTGAATGAGGAGCAATGGATGGGCTGGTCGCTTCAGAGCATGAAGCAGGGCATGGCTCTTGGGTGTCCCCGGAACATGAAGCATTCCCCTTTGATTTTTTCCCCTGTTCAGCCACTGCCCTGGTGGTTCTAGCTGGCCACTGCAAAGGCAGCCGCTTGCCCTGCTGCAATAATGCCTTGCTCCTCCTCTCCCAGCCTCAGCTGCTCCGGAGCACTGCAGATCCCCCGCCTGTCATTGCAGATCAGGGGATGTTGCCTACACTAGACCCAGTACGGAGGAGTAAAGGCCAGGCACTGCCCTCGGAGCAATTCCCAGTGCTCCCATCGACTGTGGTGTGGTGTGCTGTGGGTTTCTATTGGAGGCAGTATTAACTAAACACTGAGGAACTGTCTTCTACACGAAAATAAAATGCATCCATGCTTTCAGGCCATTATGTGATCTAGTTCTCCCTCTTGATTTTGGAGGAGTACGAAGAAGAAACTGCTTGATCTTTAGTAACCAATAACCAAAGGAAACCCATTTTGAGTGTCAAAATCTCACAAGGCATCTCTACTTCTGCAGAAGCTAATCTGGTATTTTGCTCATCAGAGATGGAACAAGCTAATCAAGACCATCTCTTGGCATATTTTTATGCTTTCAGCTTGGTAACAAGGTGCTGCTGCTCTGGACTTTGCATCCTGTTAGTTTGTATTAGTAATTCACAGCCAGTATCTCTGCAAAAAGGTTCTGGGCAGAGGATGCTCTCCCTCACATTGTCTTTGCGTTCCAACCCCTGCCACTTCTCCTTCTCTGGGGAGATGCTAATCTCGCAGTGTTTTACTTTCTGCATTTGGGTCCATATGTGACAACCGTGTGTCTGATCACCACAATCTCGCACAGTTATTGTACCCCAGGGAAAGGGAGCCAAAAAAACATATGGGGCTAGAGAAAACGGTGTGCTTCACTGCTCACAGGCATATTTCAGAGACAACAGACTCCAGTATTTCGCAGAAAAGATGTGCGCTCCCCAAAGTCTTCTGGAAGTGAAGTCAAGGTTGTGATTTTCTTTTCCTCAACCAGTGCTGCAGAAATACTTTAATTATTCTAAAAATCAGTGCTTCAGTTGTTAAGATTTTAATAATCATTTATGCCATGACAGATCCCAGTTGTTCATTCACTAAGGACTGCTTCTATTAGGAAAAAAAATCTGGCACTTTTTTTCTGCTGACTGAGCAAGTGGGGACACAGGTGCAAACACCTGCCCATGTATACAGTGTGTGCTCATGTGAAAATAGGTGTAGGTTTGCACCTTGTCTAGCCCTGCATCCTCTCCACCCTCTCTCCTAGACCATGTCTCCAGTGGCTTGAAACAAGCAATTTCCTGCTCTTGTCCTTTTCCTTTATCCAGCCCTCCCTATATACACACTTAGATTTACTGCAGCCTCTTGTAGCCCTAGCAACTGCTGCCACTTCAGGTTTGTATCTGGAGGGAAAGGTAATGGGTAGAGGAAATGCCAAGGGATGGAAAGGGGCATCCTAAACTGGGGGAGGAGGAAGATACTGAATTGTCTGAAATAGCTCTCAGTAACCTTGATACCAAATACCAGTATTTATTACTAGACATGAGTTTGCAAAAGCTCTTCTTAGGCCCCAATATTTCCTCACTCAGGAAAAATGGATATTACCCAAACTGGAGTCATCTGCCTGGCTCCCTGAGATTTGTGCTCCCTCCTGGTGCTGCACAGAGGAAAGATGCAAGAGTAGGAAGCAGACCCAGTAAGCAGAACTTGCTGGAAAATTGATCCAGTGAGTTCATTAAATCTGTAAAAGGTCTTTTAAAGCTTGATCAGCTTCATCCTGCTCTCAAGTTTGAGCCTGTATAGTCCCAGAGACATGGGAGGAGTCAGCAGGAGAGGGATGAGATGGCCAGTGCGTAATGACCTCACCTGGAGAGGCTAAACTTGGAATATGTACAGCAGTTAGGAGCAAGTGGGGAAAAAAACAGTTTGAGAGGCATGTCTTCACCTAATGGGCCAGTTTCCAGTATTGTGAAGTAATGAACGTGCTGCATTATGTAGGTATTTACATAAGAGAAGAGTGTATTTTAGTGTGATGTTCGTGACTTGAGAAAACCTTTAGTTAAATTCCATGGTGACTGCCTTTGCAAAACAGCTGCAGAGAGTCTTCCAGGACTGAAACGCAGAAATTTTAATGATGTTAATTATTGTAGCAAACTTTACTATGTGAAATATTTATTTAATACATTGTTCTTCCAACATGGTGCTCAGCAGTTGCACTGGACTGGGTGTTCAGCTGTCACCATCGTGGGCCTTAAAATACCACCCAATGTGATTATCTGACACAATTACATGTTTTGAGACTATTAAGAAAAAACCATCTTATGGCTGCATATAAAACCATAATGCCAGCCTATCCGAGCCTCTCAGAGTATAAAATAACAAATTAACAAAAAATAATTGCTTTTCTTCAGTATCATCAGCTTTAAAAAATCCTGTAAATCCCTGTATAAAGGTCTGTTTTTTTATCAAACACCTTTTTAAGGCCTTCATTACCAGGAGAAGCCATTCAAGGATTTCTGTACTATTGACTCAAGGGAAAGAGCCCCAAATACATCAAAATCAGGAACATTTTGCCTGTTTCATATTCATAGTTTCTTCTTTATGTGTGACTGATTTATTCTGCTGCGTGCCCCCAGGGTGTGCATTGTCCAAAAAAAGGCTGCCAAAAAAAAAAAATGAGAACGGAGCAAGTGGCGGGGTGGGGGGAGTTCAACTGATGTTTTTAAATGCTGTGAGACTATTGCACATCTTGCATCCTCATGTGTGAATTCACCTTATGGTGTTTCTTAACAAAAGAATATGTGAGTGTATTTAGTGAGCATACTCACCAAATAAATAACTTCAGCACAATGCAAGACATCATGCCTGAAAATAGAAAGCTGCTCCCAGACAGTGACTCCATGCTGTGAAATCCGCTCTCCCCTGCTTCTGTATTGTCTTAAGTTGTACTTGTGCTGCCATAGCTTGTGCTTGTGTTATAAAGCACTGTGCCTCTGCATGGAAAGCAAGGACCTGGGATTATTTTAGGTTCTGGTTTCACCTAAGAGAGTGGTTTGGTCTTCAGTGCCTTTTTTTCCCCCCGCAGCATGTATGGATGTCGGAAACAAAGGGAGCACAAATTACTTTGACAAAGTCTGCGGAGGGGGTTCTGCCAATGGGTTCTCTGTGGGGAGCACAATGCCTGAGTTACAGAGCACCAGACTGCAGGGCAGGAACTCAGAAACCACTATGTGCAAATACGTCTGAGCAAGGGAACCAGCAACTTGACAAAAGCTCAGCTCACCAGGCCTCCCGCAAACTTTGCCCAGGTGTTGAGGAGCAGTTGAAGGGTGGCAATGAGGGGGATCTTTCTGAAATGGGAAGCTATTGTTTAGCACCCGACAGATGAGAGCAGACCCTTCTCCTGCCACAATAGCTGCTCACACCAAGCAAGACTCATTAAATATTCAGTTCCAGCCTCAAGCAGCTCATTAAGTCAGCAATGAGCAGTGACGCTGGTGTTGGAAAACCCTGCCTCAGTTAACATCACCATGCAGAGTCTCCCTGGATCTCTTGATGTTACTCTGCTCAGTCCCTTTTCTGTGATGACCAGCCTGTGCTCTCTGCTTTGCATTAAATACAGGTAAAAATGAGTCAGGTGGATTTAAGTTCTGCTCTTCCTTATAGACCTATCCAGAGATGAGTCCTCGGGCCCAAGCTAAGTGTCTGTTGCATTTTTCTGGAGAAGCATATGTAATACAAGTTTTCAGGAGGAGGGTTATATGGCTTTAGTGTTACAAATAAAAAAACTTAATGTTCGAAGAATAACTTTCATAGCAGAGCATCATGATATGAAGCAGTTACAGATGCTGTATTACTATCTGCTGGATGTTTCACAGCAGAAACTTTTACAATAAGTGTATTTTCCCTGGAAATGCGAGTATCTCAGCTAGATTTGAGTTTGAACTGTTTGCTGAATATGTTTTTTTGTGTGCAGAGTCTCTTTCTGAATGATGTATTTGAAACCTGTTTTGCAGTCACTAACTTTTATGAGTGTAATTTCATATTCTGTAGTACTTAGCAATAATATATAGAGGCGTTTATGATGGGTGGATGTCAGATGTCAATGAATTAGAGCACACCAGAATCTGGAATTAGGATTGTAATTGTAGAAAATGCACATATGCAGTGATGTTTTAAAACTATAACATCTGAAAGTATGGAGCAGAAATGGAGAGGCAGAACACGTACAAAAGTTTTTGTGTGTTTTCTCAGAGGCAGTTTTTCACACCCTGGATGTATTTTTTTTTTTCTTTTTCCTTTAACAGAAAGTGTTTTCAGACTGCTCATTTCTATGTGGAGGACAGCAGTTCCCCCCGTGTGGTCCCCAATGAAAGTATTCCCATTATACCAATTCCAGGTAAGACAGGCTTAATCTCTTGTGTTTGTACTACTTGAAGTCTGGTTTAATTACACAAAGAAGAGAAGGTTATGCTTGTGATAAATCATGGGGTTTTGGTAGAAATTTTTTGTATCGGTGCTGCTTCATTTAATTTAATGTGCTTTGCAATGGGGCTCTGAGTGCCAATGCTGTATTTTTCCAGAGGCACCTCTCCCACGTTGTTTTAATAGAAATTTCAGAATAACCTTTGTAAAATGTCAAAAACATGAGTAACACTTCTTAAAAACACCAAGGCATTGCATCCAGGGTGAAAGCAGCTGCTCTGTCAGGGCAGGTTGTGGAGGAGGGATATGCAGCTCCACTGCTCCCTCGAGGCTGCAGCCCTTGCCCCCACTTTCAGTGTATGCAGAGGTGCTGTCTGGGGTCTCAGGGAGGACAGCGAGACACAGGGATGAGCAAACAATCTCAAGGAAAGTCCAAAGCCATCTGTTAATTTGGTATTAATCAAGTTACCAAAGGTCAAATTCTCCTCTCAGCTATACTGAGAACGAAGCTGGAAGCAGAGTTTAGTGCTATTCTCTCTTCATGAGGCATTTCCCCTGGGAATTATTGAGTGCAGGATGCAGCTGCCTTGAAGCCGTGATGACAGAGAGCAGCCTGGTGTTACTGTGGCCTTTGCAGCCGGTGCCTTGTTTGATGATGGTCGGTCTCACATCCAAAATTAAGATACCCAAAATGTTGATTGACCTCAGTTTGTCAAAGGCTCATATGTGTTGCTTGAAAGTGTTTTAAGTTTCCTTGTCACATTCTATAATTTGTGCCATTGGTCTGGGATTCAATCTGCAGTTAAATAGGTTCATTTTACCAAGAAACATTCACAGACTTTTCTGAGACACTGAAGAAATGTGCTTCCTAGAAAAGTGAAAGAGTGCAGTTATATTTTCCTTGATTTTATTCAGTAGACGTATGACTTATTTCTAGAAAGAGTCTTTCAAAGTACCCATGGGAACTAGTATGAAAGGTCAGCTATTACATTCCTACAGAAAGCGTTAGGCAGTTTGCCTTGCAGTCTGATGGTGTGCCACTGAAAATGAAAGAAAACATGCTCTCATCTCCTCTCCTTTCTGTGGCAGACTGAAACGTATGTCCTGGCCACTTCACGTTCTTAGGAAGAAGTCACCCTTCTCCTTTAGGGTAATAGGAGGTGACAGGTTTTGGTCTTAGACCACCTGCAATGAGTTTTCACAAAACTACTTAAATAGCTGGAGAACTTCATTCTTTCTAATTTGAAACCAAGAGGAACAATCCCATTTTAGGGCTGGCTGCTTCTGGCAGTCAGTTTAATGGTCCCACCTCGCCTGCTCTAGTGTGATGTCTCCTTGGAGCTTGTGGGGAAGGGGAGAGTGGGCTAAGCTGAGCTCTGTGCAGAGCAGTGTCAAAACCTGGGAGATTATAAACACAAGGCACTGGGAGGAGAGAAATTCTCCCCTCAGAGAGAAGCCTCTTTGGCCAACCTATAGTATTTGTGCTGTAATTGAGACAAGTTTTTCTTAGATAAATAAACAAGGCACCCCCTGAGCAAGTGCTGCAGGACACCTTGTGAAACTTTGTTGTCAAAAAAACTGCAAGGGTTGCTGATGAGCTCTAAAGCACATCAAGAACTGGGCCTTAGAAAGAGGTTTAGTCTAATTGGATGCAAAGGTAAATCCAACCCTCGAATTCCCAGTCGAATGACAACGTTTTGTGGATTTAATGGTCATCTAGACACCTGCATACAGTCACCCAAATGGAGGGGCCTTAATCTGAAGCCAAATTGTGCCCAGAAAATCTTAAGAGAAGATTAAGCTGATAAATTTGAAGATCTTGGCACTGACAGTAAAGCTATGCAGGTCACCAAAAACCAGATCACCCTCTGGAAGTGCCTCAGTCTGTGTGTATTAACTACTACCTGTACAGGGAATCCATAATGAGGCTCAAAGTTATTAGAGATAAATTCCAGTTATGTTGGCTTTTTCCAAAGATGCAAAATAATACCTGGAAGGATCTTGAAGCTCTCCTAGGCATTTTCCTTGTTTGGAGATGTAAAAGAGGGCTGTTTTCCCCCATGTACCTGTTGCTGAATGACAGTCTTCCTTGACGTCAGCTGGTGCTCCCACATAGACAGCCCACTGAAATGCCTTAAAAACATGAAATGACAAAGTTCTCCTTTGAACTGATGGCAACTTATGAAATGATAAGCCTCTCAACTTTTCCTCTGGAAGCTGCCAGAGGGTGTGAGAAAGTCTTACTTGCCGTGTTGATTCTAGGAGCAAAGTATAAGTGGCATTTTCACAGAAACAAGGTTTTTGAAGTAGCCGTGTTAGCTTGTGAAACCCCATCCTTACGTGAGAAATTTGACTAGACCCCTGTGGGAACGTGCCTCTACCTCCTACAATTCAATGGGCTAACTTCCACTCTCGGGTGTGAGCAAGCAGCCACACTGACGGCAATTTAGGGCAGTGTGGCTGAAGATGCTCCACAGGTTTGCCAAGGCCCATCTACAGCATGCAGGGAGCTGCCAGGCAGAGGAAACTGAGTGGGTTTGGATTGGCTGGTCCTGGCCCAGGTGTGGGGTGGTTCTGCCAGGTTTCTGGGAGCCAGGCACAGCGACGTCCTGACGCAGCTCTAGAGGTTTCAGAGGCAGCGCTGGTGTCTCTGCGTGCCACCACTCTCTCCATGACATGTTGGCGTAATCAGAGGCAGCGTTTGTGTTTATTTCTGTACCCATCCTGCTCTTGTTTATGCAAACCCTCTGTTTCCTCAGGTCTGTGAACTCTAAATCAATCTGCCAGCTACCTGACATATGCACACAGTACAACTTTTCAGGTGCAAAATCTAAAAAAAGCCTTCTCGCAAAGGAATGATTTTACCCATTTTCTATTTCACTTCCCTTGGCACATGTGCTTAATTATTGTGCATGAAGCCACATCACCCATAGGTGTGTGCCTATCTGTGCAAATTCTCTCTGAGATCCAAATCATTATCATTATTCATAATTATCTGCACTGCTTGATCTAGAGAAGCACAGGACAAAGGAGTTATCATTAACTGAGTCACCCACTGGATATTACATCTGAGATATAAATCTCGACTCGCATAAGCCTCACACCTGACAGTAATGCATCTGTAATCAATGGTAGATTTCTGAAAACTCCCCTGCCATTAAGCCCCACAAAATTATTTCTCCATATCTTCTCTCTTTGCCTCCACGCTCAGTTAATTTTGGCCACATCTTCATCAACTTTGCCTGGATCTCTTCACTAAAACATTTGGTGTTGGAAAGATCTCACTCAGCAAACCTGCCCTTGCTTCTGTTTGTTTGGTCTTTTCCATTGCTGGGTCAGTATCTGACTGACGTTCTGGATCTTTCTGGACTTGACCCCTTTCCAGTAGAGTTAGATAAGTAACAACAACAGCAGCATCATTATAGCTGCAGACCTGTGGAGCAACACCTGTGTTTGCAACACTGAAAACCAAAACACATCCTTTAGCAGTTTTCCTTTCTTGTCATCGCAAGACCTGCCCCATGACAGCGGTGCAGGCATGCACCTCTGTGCAACTTAGATGATATCCACCAGTGGAGCAAGCACAAATTCCACTTCTACCTTCCTCCTCTCCTTTGTCTCAGAGTTCTTCTGCTCTTAGAAGGAGCATTATTCTGCCTCTTGCTGTAGCTTCACTGGTTCCTTGCCCAGCCCATGGGCACAGGGGATGCTGAGGCACTGATGTCAGTAGGACTTGTGAGATCAGTACAGAGATAGTTGAGGCTTGACCCAGTGGCAAAGCTCAAAACTCAGTGTAGTTTTGGCCACAGTCCAGACAAACACGGACCATAAAAAACACAATGGCTGGCCAATGCAGCTGATTCATTCAGCATATTTTTCCAAAGTCTTTCACATTTTATAGTTTTAGTATAAGTAAAATTTCTCAGAAGTGATTCCAATCATTTCAGCTGTGTCTAGACTACAAGAGTAAGGAACACTCCCCAGTTCTTGGATCACAAGGGCATTGAGTTTTAGGTTTAAATGGCAATAAATTAATCTTTTAACTAGTCCTAGAGTTTATTAATAATGTATTTAAGATAACTAATGGCAGAATCTGATGGAGAAAAACTCTCATGCTTCTTCAAGAATGTCTCAGTTGTGGGTGCATGAGCCTAGGAAATAGTGTAGTAACCAATTTCATTGCAGTGAAAAGGTGTTTTGACCATCTCATGCAGTCAGGGGAGGGTGTGAAAGCCAGTGCAGCCACGACCCTCTGTCTTCCCATGGTTACAAGAAGGAGTCCCATCCATGTTATTGATTCTTAGCTCTTCAATAACCATGGTTGCCTTGAACCTTTCCTGACGAATGTCAGTGGTCAGGTTAGATGTGTTTTTTACAGGCTCAACCCCTGCACTTCTGGTAAGTTCTGGTAGCATCCACTCTGTGACAAACTCTGTTAAGAGACTGTAATGAGATATACTATTTGACAAGGAAGCTGCAGGTTCCCAGCACAGGCTTGGTATCTTACTGTTTTCTGCTAAGATGTGGCTTTCTTGAGTTGCATCCCCAGAGCTAAAGAGCAGAGAGCAGGACATGTCTGTGGCCATGCCAGTGGCAGTGCATGAGCACAATGAGCCTTGCTAGAGGCTGGCAAGGTACAGGGAACAGCAGTAACTGCAGCTGAGGAGATACTTCTCAAGGGCATGAAGCTCTTCGCTGAGCACAGAGGTAGTGCTCTTCAGCTGTTTAAGACTTTATTTCTGCTTTCTGCTCCCTGCGGATTTATGTTCCAGCACCATATTGTGAATTGTACCCATCTTCAGCTTCAATTAAATTCATGAATGCAATATTGCAATCACAGCCGTCCTCTGAAGCCAAGAAAGTATCAAGGTATTTTAGGGAACATCCACCTTCCTTTTGCTCTGCTATCAGCCCTGCTCCTATAGTGCACTGAAGAATTCATGGTACGATATCTGATCATGGTGCTTTTAATGG